TCTGGTTTATATGCTATACTACACTGTCTTAACATACAAGAAAGTACTTCATTTGTAGGGTGACCCAATCTTTGATGCCACATATTTGACTTCACCAATTGTCCAAGCAAAGCTGTTGTAGTTGGAAATGTAGACTGCACCCCTTTAGCATTGTGAAACACTGGAATCTGAAACAACTCCTTGGGCCTACTCTTTCCGTGATACAAGACCTCCTTTGTCTTCTTGTCCTGTAAAAAGAAGTTGGACTCATCACAAATAAACCAACTGTTGTTATCAGGACATATTTGTTTAACAAATAACAAACTTCGAGCAATCTTTGGAACATGTAAAACATGAGTGAGTAATAAGGAATGATCCTTCGTATGAAGAGTAGTAGAACCAGTATTTTTTATTGATATACTAGAACCATTACCAATAGTAATCGTCTCATTGCCTTCATATGGAGCAACCTGTGCTAAGCCATGAACATCAGCAGTCATGTGATGAGAAGCACCAGAATCCACGATCCATGAATCTGTAGGCATAAACTGAGATTGTTGTTGTGCATTCATAGCAGTTATGGAAGATGGAGGAGATTGACTTTGATATGAGTAGTTGCTTCTGTGATGACAGTTAAGAGCAACATGACCCTTCTTCCCACAAATTTGGCACTCGATCAAAAAACCAGGAGTTGAATTGGTGTTGTTCCTGTGAAAACAATTTACTGCTGTATGACCTCGTTTGTTGCAGATTTGACATTCAATTACTACATTCATCCTTGTGTCTGTGTTGCCCGACCAACCAATGTTATTGGAGTTCTGCCTATATCCTCCAGAATTGAAACTCTTCCCCTTGTAACCATTATTGGACCTGTAATTGTGTTGACCCTTGGAATTTGAGCCATTGAAAGGTCTAAACCCAGAATTTGAACTTTGATTTCTTGTATCTGAATGAGAACCAGAATTTCCAAAGAAACCAAAACCATATGGTACAGGAGGATAAGATCCGTCAGGAGGTTGTTGTGTAGAATAGAACTGAGAGGACTGCATATTAGGTTGAAACTGTGATGACAATGGATACTGCAATGTCCCATTAAAAGGAACCTGTGACAAAACACCACCAGTAGAACCAGGAATGTGACCATGATTCTGTGGATTAGAAGAAGAACCATTGACCATTGAAGATCCAGGATTAGTACCAGTCCCTTTCACATACAAGGCTGACAAACTTTGAGACAACACATTGATTTCACCATCAATTTCCTTTTCAGCACCAAGAAGTTGTGCTCTGAACTCTTTGAGAGTAATTGATGACTCTCTAGCAAGAATAACCATTCTGATTATTGCATATTCTTTTGGTAACCCAGCCAATCCTGCAATTATAACATCATTGTCTGAGACATACTCCCCTGCAGCACTTAATTGCTCTCTAATATTTTTCAATCTCAGCAAATACTTATCAATTGAGTCAGTTCCCTTTTGTATAGTATGCAGTTCAATCTTTAGATGATTCACTCTTGATTTTGATACAGAAGCAAACCTATCTACAAGATTCACCCAAGCCTCATGAGCATTCTTGCAGCCAAGAACATACTCCATCGTTTCATCAGAAAATGTGGCAAGCAAAAGACTTAACAAAGCCATATCAGTTGACTCCCAATCAATATACGCTTTAGTAACTTCATCAATAACTCCAAGATCAGTAGTCAAAACAAACTTTGGGGGACACACATCAGTGCCATCAAAATAACCAAACAATTTATACCCCTTCAACATAGCTTTAAACTGAAATGCCCATTTGACAAAATTATCATCCTTCAATCTGATAGTAAGCATCCCCAACAAATTGTCTACTTTAACAATCGGATTAGTCATCTTAACACAGATCACAAAGACACACAATTCCAATTATGTAATGAACAGGAAGAAATTAACACTCATTGCAATTGAAACAGACTGCAAGACTTCAAAGAGACTGAAACTCTTTATCAAGAAAGATCGATACTTCCCAAAATGCACAAGAAAAATACCACTGTTCGAAGAGACTGAAACTCTTTACCAAGAAAGATTGAAACTTTCCAAAACGAACAAGAAAGAATGAAACTTTCTCAAATATGCTAACTGCACAAGTATTTCTGCATCACAACCTTATGAACATTTGACTATACAATCAATCATCAAATTTCTCAAACTTTACACCGAACACTATCTTCAAGAATCTCAAAAAAAAAAACCAATACCCATGATCAAAATTAGCTCCAATCATCGAAAGAAAGATATCACCTGAATCAAGCTCAACAATCGAGGAACACACCCAACTTCAATAGCCTTCCGTAACCTTCAGAATCGCACTCGAGCCCTTCGAAATTGCACACAACAGCACAGCTTCAATCTTCCAGAGCAGCGGAAAAAGCACCAAGGATCGGCACGGCGACGAACCTAACCGGCGATGATACCATATTAACTCTGAGAAATATAGCTATGAGAAAATGAATAAGAAGAACAGAAGCTTAAGAGACGAAGAGTTTCTGAATTCTTTGTATTATTCTATATGAAACTATTACAAGTCTTTACGTTGTGTTATATAGCCTCTCAGCATACATGGACTATTACAAAACTACCCCTTTGTAACTAACTCTCTAACAATCCAAATGGTAGTTATAACCAATCAACAGAATAACAGATAACAATGGCTAATAGGTCCAACGGCTATACCCCTATGGCCTTTCACACCTTAAATCCTTGTAATGCTTCATCGAGAAGTAAGGAATTTGTGTAGCAGCACCATCATCTTCTACCTCTCCCCTTCTCCATTGTTCTCTGCAACTTTCTTCATTTCAATTTCTTGTTGAATGTTATTGCAATAAAACCATCATAAACCACCTAAATTACAGAATCTAACGTGGCCTTAGACCCTAGGTTTGATTAAACTTTCATCTGGAAGTGAATTTGTGCTTACAGAATCAAGCTCACAACGAGCTTCATCTCTGCAATACTGAGCTTTGTAAACACTAAAATCTGTCAAATCCTAGTCTAATATGGTTGGATCAACTAGTTCTAAACTTAGTATATTAGTTTTCAATGGCGGAAACTATGAATTCTGGAGAATCAGAATGAAAACCATTCTCAAGTCTCATGGACTTTGGGATCTCATTGAGAAAGGGTTTGAATCCCTGAATTGAAGGAGTTGGCTGAAAGAGCCACTGATGCAAAAAAGGAGAAAGAGGAATCAAGCACTCTTGCTGAGGTGCAGATGAAAGATGCCAAGGCCCTTGGATTGATTCAAGGAGCTGTCTCTGATCAAATCTTTCCCAGAATCTCAAATGAAGAAACATCAAAGGGAGCTTGGGAAATGTTACAGCAAGAATTCAGAGCTGATAAACATGATAAGAGTGTGAAACTACAAGGATTACGTAGAGATTTTGAATACACTAGAATGAAAGATAATGAATCCCTTTTCGTGTATGTTTGATATCATTTATCAAATGAAGAGTTATGGTGAAGAGTTATCTAGAGATAGAGTAGTATAGAAATTGCTTATTGGCTTGCCTATGTCCTATGATTCTATATGTTCTATGATTGAGCATTTTAAGGATTTGGATACACTAGAAGTGCAGGAAGTAGTTGCATTCTTGAAGGGTTTTGAGCAACGATTGGATAGACATACTGAGAGCTCCACTAAGAGAGCTTTTGCTAGTTTGAATGTAGGATCAAAATTCCCTAAAAGTAATGGTCTTTCTGGCAATCAAAAGGCTGGAAAAACTGGAAAAATAAGCCAAATTTTGTACCCAAGCAAATTGCAGGACAAGAGTATAATAAGAATGCATGTAAGCACTATGATAAGCTTAATTGTGGTAAATGCTGATTTGAAGGGAAGCCTAAGGCCATCTCCAATCGACCTGGCCAAAGGGCTATAGGGTTAAAAATAGCTCAAAATGACATAAGAACTGTATCCAACCGAGAGGTAGGCCAAAGGGCTCGTGGGCCCCACCGGGTCAAAAATTGAAAAACAAGCCAACTAGCTGGCCAAAAGGAGCCAGCCAGCCAACCCCAGGCTGACCAAAAATTCAAAAGCAATAGCTTAGGCGTAAGCTAGCTTTTTTTTTATTATTTTATTTATTTATTTATTGGGACAAATTTTGTTATAAAAAAAAATTATTCTATTTTTTTTTCCCTATAGCTACCTAAGCCATTAAACAACATTTAACAACACAATATCCACCCCCAGTACTACTTGGGGGAGTTATTCAAACTTAAACAACATTAAAAAAAACATTTAACAACATAAAACTTAAACGCCTACTCCATGGTCATTTTGGCCCAAAGATATGCAACAAGATCCTATTGTAGGTACTTGTTTGTGGCACGCGAACGTGTCATCCTATGGCGCCTCATGTACTTATTTAAAGAGATATTACCAGTTCTTGGATCCAAGGGCAAATTAGGCCCATCATATATTTTCGCACGAGCCTTCTTTGACCTATTTGGATAATCTTGGTCGTCATCAGACTCTCCATCAATATAGTCATCTTGCTCATCCTCCATAATCATGTTGTGTAATATGATGCATGACATCATGATGGAGTTCAATTTATCTCGACTCCGCCCTCTTGCTAGTTCCTTAATGATCTTTCATCGTGCTTGTAGAATACCGAAAGCTTTCTCAACATCTTTCCGGTATGCCTTTTGGTGAAAGGTAAACCACCTTTGGGCATCATCCATAAGGTTTGCAATTGCTTGGACAAGTGTTGCCCACTTTGGGTAGATGTCATCTGCCAAGTAATACCCCATATTGTATTGACGCCCGTTGATGTAGTAGTCAAGTTAAGGTGATTTACCCTCCGTTAGGTTATTGAAGAAGGGTGAACGCCTAAGTACTGTAATGTCATTTTGGGATCTTGGGACTCCAAAGAAAGTATGCCAGATCCATGTGTCAAACGAGGCAACCACCTCTAACACAATAGTCGGCTTTCTCGATCTTCTGCTAAATCCTCATTGCCATCTGGTAGGACAGTTCTTCCACTACCAATGCATGCAATCTAATGACTCGATCATGCCCAGAAAGCCACAGTCTTCAACTTTGCGAAAGAGCTGATCCAGATCTACTTGTTTTGGTTCACAGAGGTACTCCTCTTTATAAATCTGAATAACTGTGTGACAGAATTCAATAAGATTATCAATGTATGTAAACTCAGACATACCATATGTATCATCTATCACATCAACTGGGGAGGCATAGGCTTGCATTTGGAGTGCAATAGCAACCTTTTGATAAGGTGAGAAACCAGGGCGGCCTACTCTGTCCATCTTCTGTCGAAAGTATGGATTGACATGTTGGACATCATGAAGTAAACGCTCAAAGACGTGACGCCTCATCTGGAAGTGACATCTAAAACCCTCTTTTGTGTACGTCGAGTTAGAGTTGAAGTAGTTGTTCATTAGAGTCTCATGTGCCATTTAGTGGTTTATAATAGCGACAAACAACATAGCCATCCCATTGAGGTTGTTCTTCATTTGCCTCACATGCCATGACCCCAGCCATTGCTGCCATATATGTTATGTTGTGCCATGCTTCATCTTCTTCATCGAACTCCTCATCTTCTCGTCTCATCTGCACCTATTTATCTTCTAATTTGGAATTGGATGAGGACTCCCAGTTGGAATGCGAAGAGTATTCAAAGTTAGAATTTATTGCAAACTTGAATTGAAAGAGATTGAATTGAAAGAGATATTGGAAAGGGCAAAGATGAAGGTGTGTGAATTATACCTCAATATCCAGCCTATTCATGGATATTGGAAGCTGAAGATAAGAAGTGCCATGTAGATAAGAATCCTATCGAAAATTTGCACAACCAATTACATCTCAACACATGGCATTTGAAATCCTATTTGAAAAATTATTGAGATTACATATCGACAAGAAATCTAGAGAGTTACTTACTTTAGCAACATGTGACACTCGAAATCCTATCCTAAAAATTATTAAGATTACATATCAACAAGAAATCTGGAGAGTTACTCACTTTAGAGACATGTGTCACTCGAAATCCTATCTTAAAAATTATTAAGATTACATATCAACCAGAAATCTAGAGAGTTATTCACTTTAGAGAAATCCTATTCTGAAAATTATTAAGATTACATATCAACAAGAAACCTGGAGAGTTACTCACTTTAGAGACATGTGTCACTCGAAATCCTTTCTGAAAAATTATTGAGATTACATCTCGACACGAAATCCTATCTGAAAAACATTAATTCAATTAAAATAATAAATTATGTTTGGCTATGGCTCTTTAGTCTCCTCGGTTGGAAATGGTATGAAATATGGTATGACACTGCTCATTAAAATATAATTTCTTGGAGGGCTATAGGGCTAAAGGGAGCCCTCTAGCCCTCATTTGGTTAGAGATGGCCTAAGTGTACTATGTAAGACTTTGATTTTCACCTCCTCAGAACATTTAACATTCGAATCCATTCCACATGCTCCAACCCAGAGTGAAGATGAGGCCAGATACATTCTTACAGAAAGGTAGTTTTATCAGGTGGTTCCCCGGCACAATAATCAATACATGCTTTGTCGTATCGAACTCACTCCTGGCGGAATGAGTTAATAACACTGCCCAGTCACACCAACTACTCTTACTTAGAAAGCCAGCTGCCTTGTCCCATCAGAATCATATATGCCTTTTCGCATGAGGTGTTTGTTTTGACTTACATGCATTAGAGGTACGCGTGATAGACAGAAGCATGTCTGACGAGATAACTTCTATCACTAACTTCCATTCACACTGATCAATTAGGGCATGATCAGGATGATTCATACCAGCTTCTTCTTGCTTATAAATAAGCAATCCACTTCTTCTCAAATGGTTAAACACTTATCATACCCCCAATTATACTCAACTTGGCTTGACCATTGGAGTCCTTACACAACGAACCACAACCTCCAGTACAAGGCTTAACACTTTTATTAGCTTTCATCTGTGCAGGCCATATTCATGGTGGCTATCTAAAATATGCACCAACAGTAGTTTGGTGCTTTCATTGAGAGTTCAAGTTCATAGTCCATTGCAAACGCTCCCGTCTTCACACATGGTTGATCGTCTTGAGCCACCATACAATCCAAGCTCTCCTGGAATGGATGCCCTACCTCCAACAACTGGGCTCGCGCATTCTATGCCCTGACTCCTCTTAGCAACCCACAACAATAACCTTTGACCTCGGTGGCCCAGGCAAATGCCTATGGAGGGAGGCTTGCAGTCGTATTGTGAAGTTGATCCTATCTCCAACGCCATGAAATGGTACGCCAGCCTTCCCTCAGGATCTATCACGTACTTAAAAACCTTAAGTAAGGAATTTTTTAAGGCCTTATTTGCGTACAAGGAGGTGAAGCGAGGAAAAAACATCATATTCCTGATCCGCTACAGGGACGATGAAAGTCTTAGAGACTACATTAAGTGATTCTGCACAGAGTTTGCGCAGGTAGATAGAACCGACAACCGTATGGCTGCCACAACATTCAAAAAGAGACTTCCCATTAAATTCAAGCTTAGAAGGAAGCTCTATAAGCTTAAGTAAGAGTACATCACTATAGCAGAGTGTTTTGATAAGGCAGAAGAAATAGTCACATGGTATGAGGAGTAAATGAAAAATGGGAAAACACTTAAGATGGAATCCGCTACGAACCCATAGGCAGTGGAAAGAAGGGCTAGTGAACCCAGTAGGAGTGCATTGGGGGAAAACATAGGTGCCTCCGATGGGCAGATCAGTCGGAGTTTCAGTTTAAATCCAAGTAAGGGTCTCGGGGGCTCCATCCCCACCTTCTTCCTACACCAAGTTTAATACCTCTATCAACAACGTCCTGAACGAGATCTGAGACAAGCTTTTCTTTAAAAGACTGCACCCTATGTTGGATCTGAACCCTAACTCTAAAGAGTATTGTGGCTATGACAAAGCATGTGGTCACTTCACAAGAAGTTGTTGTAATCTCAAAGAGTTCATTGAGGATCTGCTTGATCGCTGTCATTGTTAGGAATTCATGGTAGAAAAGGTAAATGAAGGCAAATAGGATGCCGACGGGGACAACTCCAAGAAACAAAGACGATGGGGAGGAGAAACCTGTGAAAAGGCCAACCCTCCACATAAATTGCATTTATGGAGCCCAAAAGTACGTGGGATCCACGAGGAAGGCAAATTGGTTCCACACACTGCCGCCACGTTCAACCTGGAACTTTAACGAACTTTCCTTAGTTTTCACTAAGGAATATTCGTCCTACAGCTTGATAAAAAAGAAGTCTGACCACCTCTTCAACATGAAGAAGGACCCAAAGGAGTCACTCCGCACTTACATCGAGAGATTCAAGGTAGAAAAGGCGAAGATTGTCAGATGCGATGACAACATCGTATGCTCCGCTTTTCGAAAGGGGCTCCCAACAGATCACCCATTTTTCGGAGAATTGATTATGAGCGAGAACCTGTCCCTGACAAACTCTTATGCTTTGGCAAAAAGCATTCCTTTTAGGATGAAGAAAAATGCTCCCAGAAGCCGCCTAAGCAGCCGCGCAAAGATGCAAAACTGACTCAGAAGAAGGCGAGCGATAAACCGCTTAACGACAAAAGCTAGCTAGAAGACATGCGCATGGACCGGTCCCCAGCAAAAGGAGGCACAGCACCCAAGACGTACACCAAGTTCTCAGTCCCGATCAACCAGATCCTTCGTGACCTTAAGGACAAGCCATGGTTCAAGTTGCCGCCACTTATAAAAGGCGATATCTCAAAGATGGATGAGACCAAATACTGCGCATTCCACAGAAGTCCTAGGCACACAACTAATGACTGCACCACATGGAAAAGATACCTTGAGTAGCTCGTGAAAGAAGGCAAATGCGACCAGTATGTTGATAGACTAGCTGCCGGCCAAGGCGAGAAGCAGACGTCGATGCCGAACCCCTAGCCAATACAATCTGAATCAATAGAATCTTTGCCAAATCCTAGCATCTAAGGGCCACCAATGACTCCAAGAAGAAGAAGATCCAGTACGCAAGATCGGTCAATCAGGTTCAAGCCATAGATGCTATATACCCAGACCAATCGTTAGCTTTACTGAGCAGGACACTGAGGGAATATATTTTCCCCATAACAACGCCCTGGTGATTTTTGTACAACTGCCCCACACCATTGTATGGGCTTGGAAAGCATGATCCATCACAAAACAAAGGTCTTGACCAGATTTAACAGACTTACCTCAACTAGCCCACACCAATTGTCTGATCGTAGACCTTCATGATCGTCAACGACCTATCTCCCTATAACGGGATATTGGGCTGACCCTGGTTGGTGAAGATTGGAGCTGTGACCTCGATCGAGTATCAGAAAATTCGATTTCACATCCTGGGAGGAGCAGTTAAAGAGATCAAAGATGACCAAACCATGTCTAGGCAATGCATTGTACAAGTTTTAAAGGAATCAAAGAAGAAGTCTTTCGCCCCAGCAATAGCAACCGAAGTGCAGAAAGACGACTCTACCTCCGCTAAATAGCAATTACAGCAGGAAGGTCAAGAAGATGGTGTCAAGGTCAACAATTCCCTGGAAAATGAATCAGGATGAAAACCCAAAAAAGATGTCAAATACATCATTCTTTACCCCTACTAACCGGAAAAGACGGCTAGAATTGGCTCATGTCTAAGCCCGACGGAGAAGGAAGAACTCATGGCTTTCCTTAGGGAAAATCGTGACGTCTTCGCATGGTCACCCTCTAACATGCCTGGTATCGTTCCAGCAATAGCTTGTCACAAGCTGCACGTCGATCTCGTTGCCAAACCTGTGATCCAGAAAAGGCCGTGTGAGTAGCAATTATTGAGGCGGAGATCAACAAGTTACTAGAAGCCGGATTCATTGAGGAAGTGGCACATTCAACATGGCTGGCCAACGTCATGCTAGTAATGAAAAAAGAGAATGGCCTATGGAGAGTATGCATGGATTACACTGAGCTCAACAAGGCATGCCCTAAAAACAACTACCTGGTTCCATGAATCGACCTGCTCGTTGACTCAACATCCAGGAACTAACTACTCAGCTTCTTGGACGCGTACTGAGGCTACAATTAGATTGCCATGCACAAGCCTGAGAAAGAAAATACCGCATTCGTGATCAAGTGAGGCACATACTGCTACAAGGTCATGCCATTTGGCCTCAATAACACAGGAGCAACCTACCAACGACTCGTAAACACGATGTTCAAGAAGCAGGTCGAAGTCACCGTGGAAGTTTATGTCGATGACATCATGGTGAAAGGCAAGCAGCGGTCAAACCACATTCACAACTTGGCAGAAACTTTTGCCATTATCCGAGAATACAATATGAAGCTCAACCCAGCCAAGCATTTTTTGCATCTTCTCAGGCCAATTCTTAGGGTACCTTGTAACCCAACGAGGAATCAAGGCTCATCCAAGGCA